CCAGTCGGGGGTGGGGGTGGAGGCCGGAGCCTGGCACCCAGCAGAGGCGATTCCAGGCTCTGGCTCCAGAGCCCCGATCAAGCGCCAGCCCCGCGTCTCCCCAGCCCCTCAGCTCCCAGCTACTCAGCCACCCGGGCCCTCCAGCTCTGGGAGTCACAGGGCAGGACCTGGACGGAGCCTCTGCGGCCCATCCTGGCGCCTCGGCCAAGCAGCCTTTCCCCAGGTCCCTGGGCAGCCCACAGTGTGGCTCTGGGTGGGCAGCTGGCAGGGCTGGCAGGCAGAGGCACAGATGCCAAACTAGCGCAGCCAGGCACTCAACAGGTTGAGCCAGTCCCTGGAACAGCCCCACCCCAGGGAGAGCAGGCCTGGCAGAGGCTCCCTGCCCCAGGCACCCAACCTGTCCCCACTTGGATGCCCACTTTCCCACGCTGCCATCCCCTCTTCCTCCTCCCCCTAGGTCAGCGCCCAGGCAGTGCCCAAAGCTCTCGGGACAAGGAAGGGATGCGATTTCCCCATCGCCCTTGGGTGCCCAGGCTCCGGGAGCACCTCACTGTGAGCAGCCAAGACGCCCCAGGAAGAGTAAACATGGCGTCAAGGCAATGAGAACCCCAAAGTGCCCCCACCTCCTTTCAGGCCCTCACTCAGACATCCTGGCCCCCACAGCTGCCCCGCTACTGTCCCCTGGCACTAGGATGGAATGTGGCACCAGAGGCAGTGTGGGGGTGCCCTCAGCGCCTGTCGTGGGCTCCTGCTAGAGCTGCCATTGCCTGCAACCCCGGTCCTTTCCTTGCCCCCCACTCCTGGGCTCCAGGGAACTCCCTCCCAGCCACTCCCCCACCCCCACCCTGAGGTGGGCAGCCCCTCTTTGCAGGCATCGCCTTTAATCTAAAGCAGGTGCCAGGCATTCCAGCCTCTGCTGAGTCAACACTGCCACCCACCAGGCCTCTGCCCAGAATGCTACCCCTGCCTGTTCATGGAAACTGAGTCCCCAGCCCACAGCTCCTGCTTAACCCAGGGACCTGGAAGCTGGGAGGCAGGAACTACCCAAAGTCAAGGGGGCCCAACACAGATCAATCGCAAGTTCACCAGGTCCCACATCCCCACTGCTGTGCCCGTCCCAGTTTCTGGGGACCAGCAATCCTTCCTCAGGCCTCTGCAGTTTCTCCCCACTTTGACTTTCCACCCCAGTCACTAGAGCCTCATTGGGAGTCTCCATATGGACCTCCAGAACCCACCTCCTGCTGCCCCAAGCACAAGAGCGACTCTGGACCCAAGAGTAGAGGCAGTCTAGCCCTCACAAGCACCCCTCCCAACATCAGCCCGACCCCACCCACATCAGGAGCAACACAGGTGAGCAGAGAGCCTCTGGAGCAACGTGGTCAGAAGGCTGGCCTTCAGGCCCGACCCCTGGGGAAGGCGGCACCTTCCTTCCTGGCACCAGACGCCCGACCCTTCACCTGCTCTGCCATCCTCTCCCTGTCCCGAGGCTTCTCTCAGCAGGCGCCTCAGAGCTGACACCAGAAAGACAGGGCCTGAACATGCCCTTCGCCTGGGGCCATGGAATCGCGGTCCTGACCCAGAGGAGGAGAGGAGGCCGCCAGCAGCCCTAGCCCAGGAGTGGCTGCTCCCAAGAGGAGCTGGCAGAAGGGCCGGGGATGCCCCCCGAACTCCGAGGTCGCATTTGGACAGCCGCCTGGAGACACGGGTGGGTGGCAGCACACAGGGGAGCGGCTCTCCCCGGGGTGCGCCACCTCCTGCCCAGCCCACCTCTCCCAGAGCAACACTTTCCCTCCCTGAGCACAGGCCCCCCCACCAGACACCCCCAGCAGCAGACAGACAGAAGAAAGAGAGGGAGGGGAGGAGGGGAAAGTGTCAGAGAAACCCGGAAGGAAGGAAGCTGGACAGACAGACAGAAGCGGATCCTGGCTTTACTGTTCCAGAGAGGCAGCCTCCAGATCCCAGACCGCCAGGAGCCCGCTCCTCTCAGCGCCCAGGGGAGAAGGGAGAGGCGACACGGTCCCTCCTGAGACCAAATCCCAGCAGCCCGGGGACAGAAGGCGTCTCCGGCAAGCAAGAGCCTGAGCCTCCCTTCTCTTCCCACATTCCTTTGGGCCCAGGCAGGGGCCACTTCCCCTCAGCAGCGCAGGGACACCTCCAAGGAACTCTGATGGCCCCACCCCCACCGCCCAGCCAAACCCACACCGCGAAGAACTCTCGGCTGGGGAGACTCCTCCAGGCACAGCCCCTGCTGCCCCCAGGCAGTGCTTGGGGCCAGAGGTGACCCCAGTGATCCCCAAACCCAATGCACCTCCTTCGGGAGGCTCCCATCAGGCATGGAGGGGTGCTGGGACCCCAGGGGTAGGGAACCCTAGGAGGGGGACTACAACTCCCAGAAGCCCCCAGGGCAGGGCTGCTGCTCCAGCTGGCCCCAGGCCGGCCTTGTTCTCTGCTCTAGGGTGGCAGGGTCCCCTGGCTGCCCCTGAGCCCTCCCCACTGTGCTCTGGGGCTGCTACCAGATTGGGGGCCCAAGCGTAACCTCCACGAACCCTGGGGGCGCCCCCGCCCATTAAACAGCTCGGGGGTGCGTTCCCGAGGGCAAGCGATATTCCGACTGTGTCCCCCTCCCCAGCTCGAACTGGACCTCCCTCCTCGCGCCCCTGCGGGCTCGGCAGGACCTGCGCCCTCAGCCCAGCCCGCCCCTCACCTCTCGCGGGTCGGGATCCTCACGCCAGGCCGGAGCTGGACGCCATGACCAGGTCCGGGTCGGTGGGTGGAAGGGGGTCCTGCTCGCCGGTCGGAGGTGCGGAGGGCGCAGGAGGTGGTTCTTTGATCCTGGATGCCTTGATCTCAACACCGGCCTGGCCGGGGCGAGGGTGTCCGGGGT